GTCACCTGTCAGCCATTTCCAGTCCTGGTGAGGGGCTCCGAGCCCCCCAGAGGCATGGGATGACCCCCTGAAGAGCTGGCCTTCCCTCCTCTCCTCGTGTTCATTTGGGGCAGAGACGGCTCGGGGTTGGAGGGCGGACACTCAAGGGTCTGCCACCTCAGTGTGTCCAGGACCCTGGGGTACACCCAGCATGCCCAGCCCTGTGTTCTGCCTAAGCCCCCCAGCCCCTTCCTTAGGAGCCCCTCCCAACTGGCGCCCCACCTGCTGCGTCTGTATGTCCTCCCCGGGGGCTAGGCAGAGCACAGAGGGGCCGCGGTGCCAGCGAGCCCTGCCCGGGGCGGGGGAGGGGGCACGGGGCGTCTGACCCCGCCCGGTGTGTTCCAGCGAGAACGAGGCCCTGTGGCGGGAGGTGGCCAGCCTGCGGCAGAAGCACGCCCAGCAGCAGAAGGTCGTCAACAAGGTGCGCCGGCCGGCCCCGGGGGGCGCCAGCTGGGTCCCACCCTCGGCCGGGCTGACTGTGCCTTTCCGCCCACAGCTCATCCAGTTCCTCATCTCACTGGTGCAGTCGAACCGGATCCTGGGGGTGAAGAGGAAAATGTGAGGCGTGGGGGGTGCCTGTCCCTCAGCACAGGGCCCCGGGCCAGCCTGTCTCCTGTTGGCTGAGGCCTGGGCTGCCGAGGCCTGGGGGAGGGCCCTGACCCCGCCTCTCCCCCCACAGCCCCCTGATGCTGAACGACAGCAGTTCGGCACATTCCATGCCCAAGTATGGCCGGCAGTACTCCCTGGAGCACATCCACGGCTCGGGCCCCTACTCGGTGAGCACGCGGTCGGCAGGGCGGGCCCGGGCGGTGCGGCAGGGCGGGCCAGGGCGGTCCTGCCACACAGGTCACCTCCCTTCGATGGCAGGCTCCCTCCCCGGCCTACAGCAGCTCCAGCCTCTACTCCCCAGACGCCGTGGCCAGCTCCGGACCCATCATCTCCGACATCACCGAACTGGCCCCCAGCAGTCCCTTGGCCTCCCCGGGAGGAAGCGTAGATGAGAGGTGGGGGCCACGTCATCCAACAGTCAGGAGAAGGGGGGGCCCACAGAGGCGGCTACTGAGGTGTGTGCTCCCCGTGTGCGCAGGCCCCTCTCCGGCAGCCCCCTGGTACGCGTCAAGGAGGAGCCCCCCAGCCCTCCTCGGAGCCCTCGGGTGGAGGAGGCCAGTCCTGGACACCCGTCCTCTGTCGTGGAGATACCCCTGTCCCCAACCGCCCTCATTGACTCCATCCTGCGGGAAAGCGAGCCTGCCCCCACCACCCCGGCCACACCCCTCACGGATGCAGGGGGCCGCCACCCCTCACCCTCGCCCCCACCTGCCTCGGCCCCTGAGAAGTGCCTCAGCGTAGCCTGCCTGGACAAGTGAGTGCCACCCCACCCACCTGCACCGCAGCCCTTGGAAGCACAGCCAGGCCTCTAGCCAGGACCATCCTAGAGGGGCTGGTGCAAGGGGTCGTCAGGCTGTGGACACGGGTTGCTGGGGGAGACGCCAGCTGACCTGGCCCTGAGCTCAGAGCTTGCTTGTCCCACGTCCCCACTGCCTCAGGAGCCAAGGGTGTGTGGCCTCGCAGGCCTGTCCCACCTGCTCTCTGAGCCACTCTGGCCACTGCCCCTGTCCTGCTGCCCAGCAGAGGGCTTGCCCCAGAGGCCAGGCGAGCAAGGGCGGGGGGCACGGAGTCCACCCGGCCCCCACCTGCAATCGGGGGGCTCTTGTCTTTGTATCTTGCAGTTTGGCTCGCGCTCCACAGATGTCTGGGGTCGCCCGCCTCTTCCCCTGCCCCTCCTCTCTGCATGGCCGAGTCCAGCCAGGGTTAGCGCCGTCCCCACTGGGGAGGGAGGAGGGCTCCGCCAGAGCTCAGGCCCCTCCCCAGCCTCGGACCAGACCCTGGCCTGGCCATGAGCACTTGGCCCTGCCTGGTGAACAGGCGTCCCGGGCCCTCTGCAACAGGGAGCAGCCCTCCCCTCTACCCCAGGCTCTGGGGCCCAAGGCAGTGCCCCAGGGCACTGACGGACAGAGCTGGGCCTCCCAGCCTGGCAACTGCTACCGGGGCAGCCAGCGTCCTGGCTGCTGTGCTGACCAGCTTCCCCTCAGGGCGGGGCGGGGCCCCGTGGACACCTCCCAGAGCCGGCCAGGCCACCCCTCCAGTGGCACAGATCCGCCAGGTGGCCCGGGGCCTTCTTGGCCACTGTCTCCAGACCCAGGGCAGAGACCAGCCCTCCGCACCCTGCTCACGGTTCCCTCTCCCCATCCCTGCCGTCTTCCAGCGTGAAGGCAAGACCTTGTCAAGCCTGAAGAACTGCCCCCAGCCCGTCCTGAGCACTAAACCCCTCCTGGGCCCCCCTGCCATCTTGGCCCAGCCCCAAGTGCTGCCAGAGGCCTCACTGGGCCTCACAGTGACAGGACCGGCCGGCACGCACGTCCCCTGGGCCCACACCGGGTGCGCGACGGGGCCCCAGCGGGCTGGGCTCTAGCTGAGGGCAGCCCCCCTGGCTGGTGCATGTGAGCGCCAGCAGGAGGGCATCTGGCTGGGGGTGCCTAGAGCTCCACTTGACCTGCCCCACCCACTCTGGCTAGGACTGAACTCAGTGACCACTTGGACGCCATGGACTCCAACCTGGACAACCTGCAGACCATGCTGACAAGCCACGGCTTCAGCGTGGACACGAGCGCCCTGCTGGATGTGAGTGCCTCCCCACCCCCACCCTGCTCCCAGCCCACGGGCACAGCCTGACTGCCCTCCCCTCCCGCAGCTGTTCAGCCCCTCGGTGACCGTGCCCGACATGAGCCTGCCCGACCTTGACAGCAGTCTGGCCAGCGTGCGTAGGCGGGGCAGGGCCGGCGGGGGAGTGGGGGTGGGGAGGCGGCAAGGGGAGCCCTCACTCTGCCCCCTCCTGCCCCAGCAGATCCAGGAGCTCCTCTCTCCCCAGGAGCCGCCCAGGCCCCTCGAGGCAGAGAACAGCACCCCCGACTCAGGTGAGCCGAGCCCCGAGCCCCTGCCCTGCCCCAGCGTGTCCCCCGCCCCCCGCCGGTGCCCTGACCCAGTCCCCACCCCCAGGGAAGCAGCTGGTGCATTACACGGCGCAACCCCTGTTCTTGGTGGACCCGGGCTCCGTGGACATGGGAAGCAGCGACCTGCCCGTGCTCTTCGAGCTGGGGGAGGGGTCCTACTTCTCGGAGGGGGACGACTACACAGATGACCCCACCATCTCCCTGCTGACGGGCTCTGAGCCCCCCAAAGCCAAGGACCCCACTGTCTCCTAGAGGCCCCAGGAGGAAGGCTGGCTGAGGGGCTAGGTGTGGACCCCGGTCGGCAGTGAGGGCCTCAGCCCTGTGTGCCACGGCTTGCTTGAGGTGTCACAGCCTCACTGGGACTGACCAGCACTGCGGGTGCTCAGTCAGGATTGTATTTTGGATTTTTACATGAGTCCCCCTCACCCCTTCGGTAGAGATACACACATACAGAGACAGACGGACGGACGAGACTGGCAGAGACCTATAAACGACAGACTCTACACTGTGGCCTCCCGAGTCTGTTTCCTCCCGCCACCCCCCAGGGGGTGAGGTGGGCGGGGGTGCGGGGTGAGGAGGGGCCCAGGGCACGTGGGTCTCCGAACGGGGCTGGAGGTCTGGGCCATGATGGCCTCCTTGGGGGTGGGGGTGGGGGTGGGGGGAAGGTAGATGTCCGGAGCATAGCCGTGCGCGCCTGACTCCACAGGACCCATGTGTGCTCAGAATCCTTTATTCAAGGACCCTTCCAAAGACCTTCCCACAAGGGGACCAGGTGGAGCCCAGATGGGCATGCCGGACGCCTCTTCCTGGCCGAGCGTCCCTGCTCATCACGCATTCTCAAGGCACTGGGCTGGTTTGGGAGCAGGGGAAGGGTGGGGGGTGACAGGACAGAGCAGCCTACCTGATGCTCCGTGCCCCCTGGCGCCCACCCACTACTCACCATCCCCAGCAGGGTCCAGGGAGACGCTGCCTCCACCCTGGGATCCAAAGGGTATCCCCAGCGAGCCCCCGTCCCCCCGACTCCAGCACAGCCAGAGGAGGTGAGGACGTGGGGTTGAGCAGATTCTGGCTGGGGCAGGGGCAGCACGGCTCTTGAGGCCACTGCCCACGCACCTCCTCAGACACCTACCTCGTCAGACTACGTCTCTAACCGGGCCACGTCCAGCCTCACATGGCCTCGGGGTCTCTAATAGAGCCCACCCACCAAGTCAGGTGGGAACAGGGGCTCAGGGCTGTCCCCCCACCTTTGTCCGGTGTGGCGGGTAGTAGGGTCTGGGAGCAGGGCTTCCTGAGGGCCACACTCAGGCTGCACGTGTGATCTGCCCAGCCCAATGCAAGGAAAACCGAGTGGGCAGGGCTCAAACTGAGGGGAGCTGAGAGTTCCTCCTGGGTCCCAGGGAGGGGCCGAGGGCTGGTGTTCAAGCTTCTGCATGGATGCATGTGCTCACGAGGGAGACCCAGGTCAAGGTTTGGGCCCGGCCACCTGCCTCACCCAAGAGACACAGAGCCCCCACCCCAAGGTCCGTGGACTCGGCCGCTGCGAGCGCCACAGCCCGAGCATGACACCAGGCACGCAGCTCTGCCGGCCCAGCTGCTCGTTCTGATTCTTGACCCTCTTACACACACCAGAGTCCAGCCGCTGCCCCAAGCCAAGGTCCCCTGCGGAGAAGTCCGTGGGCACCCTGTTCCAGGACCCCGGCACGGGGACCACGGAGCTCTGAACTGCGCCCCGACCCATGCACACACGGGGTTGACAAGGGCAGCCGGGCCTTGCTGGGCCGTGGAGGTTGCCTCCTGTGATGCAGAGACAGTGCGGCGGGGAGGAATTGCGCCCCCCCCCCCCCAGGACACAGCACCCGAAGGTAACAGGCGCCGGAAGGCCAGTGGGACTCAGATCCCCCTTCCGAGAGCACCACTAGCACCCGACGACCCCAGCAGGCTGAGGGCAGCCACTCCGGACAGCACTTTATTGATCCCCTCACCCTGGGCAGGATCGGCACAGGTTCCGGGACACTGGCCTGTGCCTGGTCTGCCGTCCCTGAGCAGGGCAGGAGGGAGCCCCATGGGGGCGGAGAAGCCTTCTGGGGCTGGGAGGAGACAACGGACAGCCAAGCCCCCTCCCCAGCGCACAGGTGGGGCGGGCTCGTGGGCAGTGAGGTGACGGGAGGTGGCAGGGAGGCCCAGCCTCGGAGCAGCTCAGGCCCCTGCCACGGGGGCCTCATAGTTGAGCACGTAGTAGTCGTGGACGTACATGAGCACGGCCACCGGCTGCCCGATGATAAGCGTCAGCCACACGGCTGCGTTGCCGTAGTTACCCTGGAAGAAGCGGCTCACTATCCAGGCCAGGGGGATCTGGAGACAGGAGGCCACAGTCAGCCGGCCACAACGCGGGACCCGAGGGCTGGCCGCGCCCAGGGCCTGGGGGAGAGGCGGGGGTGGGGGGCACGCTCACCTGAGCCATCATGCCTGTGAAGGCCCAGAGGCGGAACATGTGCAGAGGGATGCTCACCAGGTACTGCAACGGGAGGGATGGGGCGTCAGCCATCTCGGCGGGCCGCACCCGCCCTAGAGATGAGGCAGGTCGTGCCCACGGAGCACTCACCTCGTGGAAGAAAGCCGAGGCGAAGAACACCCCCGTACTGGCCACCCACTTGCTGCTGCCCCGTCGAAGCATGGGCTTGTAGAAGTGTCTGTGGAGGGAGGGGGCCGTGGGACGGGTGCCCGGGTCCACACGGGAAGCTGCCCGCCCACTGTTCCGCGCCCCCGCCCACCTGAGGCACCACTTGTGCACAGGGATGTTCCAGTTCTGCCAGAAGTAGGTGACAGACTCAGAGTTCCTGGGGGTCGAGAGCGGCGAGTGACCGGCTTGCACCAGGATGCAGCCCAGCCCCCAGCTCCACACCCAAGGCCACCCACCACCAGTCCCGGTAGAACTCCCGGTCTCCAAACTGCATGAGCTCCGCCACGGCGTTCATGCAGGAGTGGAAGAACCAGTAGAAGAAGATGAGCCAGATGAGGTGATTGGGGACCTGTGGGGGGGGCAGGTACCAGGTCGCAGGACACCCCACCCACCGGCCCACGCCCCGCCCCAGCCGCCCATGCTGCTCACCGCCAGCTTCAGGAGGCGCTCAATGATGCGTGAGTAATCCATATCCTGCAGAGACAGAGCTCAGCTGCCTCCCCGAGCTGCACCCCACCTGCCGTCCACCCCAGCACGGGAGAACCCGACCACTCACCTTGAAAGGCTTCATGGAGTTCTGGATGGTGGGAACCATCCACTGTAGAGGAGGGCACCGCGTCAGCTCCCAGCTCCCAGCTCCCGGGCCGCACTGCGCGCCCCGCCCCCAGCCCAGCCCCGCCCCCAGCCCCGCCCGGCCCAGCGTACCTGCTGGATTAGCCCCACCTGGAGCTGAGTCAAAAACAGCTGAGGGAGGAAGCAGAGAGTAGCAGGCTGAGCGCCCCCCAGGACCTGGCAGCCCCCCCAACCCCTGCCCCGTCCCCACTGCCAGCCTCCATCCTCACCATCTCAAGGAGCCGCCGCAGCAGGAAGCGCTTTCGGATTCGGGGAGAGCGGGGAAAGTTGAGCTCATAGCACAGAGTTGGGGCCAAGAGGAAGTAGTACAGATCTGGAACAGAAGGGTGGGGCTTGCACTGGCGAGGCCTGGCCCGTGCTGTCCCTCCCCTGCTGTCCTTCAGCCAAGTCCCGGGGAGGGTCCTCACCACGGTAGGTCAGGTTGTCTGGGTAGCTCACAGTGTGCTGGGCAGCTCCCCCGTTGGCCTTCTTACCTGCAGAAGCTACAAGCAAGGAGGGGGGTGGGTGAGGCCTTGCTGCGGCCCAGGTCTGGCCCAGTATCGGGTGGCATGAGCTCTGAGGCCCCAGCCCCGGGCAGCCCCTCACCGGCCTTCGCCTTGGCCTTGGCCTTGGCCCTTCGCTCTCGGCACCACAAGTTGACATCCCGGTAGGAGACGAGCTTGAGGAAGAGGATGGTGTACACCATCAGAGCCAGCACGGAGCCCACTGCAGGAGAGTCAGGCTCAGGCCACAGCCCTCCCACACCGCCCACGGGAGAGCCACAGCGCAGGCACCGCCCCTGCGGGGGGTGGGCCTGGGCCTCTCCTGCGGGCCCGGAGACAGGCTGGGACAGGGTGGGATGAAGGAAGGGGCACACCTGGAGTGATGGACTCAAGCAGCAAGGCCACGGCCGCCGGGAAGCAGAGAATGGTGGCCAGGTTGACCACGTGCAGCAGCAGCCCTGCCTGCTCCGTCAGGGCACCCTGGGGGGGGGGGGCAGAGTGCTCAGCCAGTGCCCCCACTCCCTCGGCAAAGGGTCTCCCTGGGGAAGGGCCACCGGGCCGGGGCACAGCCCCTCCCAGGAGAGCTACACACAGCGCGACACACAGGCCCCGTGAGGAGAGCACATCTCTGGGCAGGGCGGAGGGCGGGGGGCGGGAGGGCGCTGCTTACCGCCGCCAGGCGCTTCTCCACCTGGAACGCAGCCACAGCAAAGACATTGGCCACTGAGGATGTAAGTGTCATAGGGCAAGTTCAGGCCCCGGTCAAGCCCTGTCCCGTCTCCACCCGAGGCCTTCCTTGGCTCCCAGCTCACCAATAACTAGACACAGGGCAGGCCAGCTGTAGGGGTCCTTCAGGAACAGGGACACCACCTGGATGGGGTCCACCAGGATGCCGTACCTGGGGATCGGGGGATGAGGGCCTGAGCAGGTGGGGTGGGGCCTCAGGGGCGGGGCCAAGGCCCTGGGGAAGACACTCACTTGATGAGGTTTTCTAAAAATAACCGTGCATTGCTCAAGATCTGCAAGAGAGAGGAAGGGCACAGCCCCATTAGCCCTGGCCACAGGGTGCCCCGCCCCCCCGCCCCCACACCCAGCTCCTCTCAGCACCTGTAGGGGCAAGAGCCCTGGGTCTGGACAGAAACCTGCATCCTGTGAGCCCAGTCCTGTCTGACCCGCACACCAAGCTCCAAGACTTACAACCCACCTCACCCCACACTAGTGCAGGACAGGAAGTCCTTCAGCGATGCCCCCGTCACTCCAACGAGAGGGAATCGACCCCAACACCAGATACCAGTATCTGCAGCAGCTGGTAAGGGCCCCCAGGCCCAAGGATGTCCTTGCAGTGCCGGGGGCAGCCACACCCAGGGGGGTGGGGAGAAGAAGCTGACCAGAGTCCTCAGGGGCTAGGCAGCTGAACCCCGAGTGCCACTTGGGACTCACGCCCCTGCCCCTCTTCCGCTATATATATATATATATATATATATATAGCACCCCAAGCCCAGGCACATGGCCCCAAAGCAGCTCCCAAGGACAGAACCCCCATCAAGATGGGCTCCTGGCTCTGTCCTGGGGTTGGGGAATGGGTTCCCTCTGCAGGTATGAGGGTCCCCCACTCCATCCCATAATGCACAGACCCTGCCGAGTGCACCGAACTCAGGCCCTGAGCAGGGCTCGTGGCAGATTCTGTGGAATAGTGATGCTGGCCAGGGGACTGGTGGGATCCCTTACCTCAGTGGCCAGGGAAGGCTTCACAAGGAGGTGACAAGCTGAGAGACACAGGGGCCCTGCCCTCCCCCAGCCACCAGCCCGGCCTGCCCGGCACGGATGTGCTGTCCCCACGCCTGGTGGCCTGTCCTGAGAGCCCACAGCAAGCAGGTAGGAGCTGGGGCTGCTAGTGGGCAATGCCCACCTCAAGGCCCAAGCCATACAGGGAACACAGCAAGCAGCCCCAAACATGGGCTGCACATCTCCTTCAGCAAAGGGGTGGCAGAGGCACCGGAAGCAGGGGAGAGGTTCTGGGGCTGTACCAAAGGGCCAGGCGGGCCCGAAGGGTTGCAGGGAACAAGCAGTGCTACCCGAGCTGCCAGGGCCCACCCCCCATGACTGCCTCTACAAACCCACCCCGGCCAGGAATGGCCTCCAGAGGCCAAGGACACACCTCCTGAGGGTCAGGCAGGTGTCTGGCCCACTGTCCCCTTGCCCAGCCAGCCTCCCACCCACCAGACTGCATTGCCCCTTGGCGGAGAGCCTCCTGGGCCCATGGGCAGGGAGGACGTGGGTGTACCTGGAGCCCTTTCCACATGGGCAACCAGAGGAACCACACCCGAAACAGAGGTGGTGATGTCAGGGCAAGGGTCAAAGGCCTCTGGCCACATCAGCCTGAGTGGTGGGGGCTGGGCCCAGACAGGCCCTTGCGCCCTGCCCCACCCTGCGGGCTGCCCCTTTGAGCCCTGGACTCCAGCTGCTTCTGGGCCAGGACTGCTGGCCCCACCCCCACAAGGGGCCAGCAGGAACCAGGCCACAGGGTGAGGCGGAGGCAAGGGCTCTGTCTAATCCCTCCCTGGGGGGCACCTAGGACCAAGGCTGAGGGAGAGAGGCTGGGTGCCTTCAGAGTCAGGGCCTGAAGCTGCCAGGCTGAGCCCAAGAGCCATCCGCTTACCCCTCTCCCCCCAGGCCAGGCCTGCCAGGGGCTCCATACCCACAAGGGCCATTCAGAACAGCAGAAGCAGCTCTTTTTGGACCCCCAAGACCACTCACACCTGCTGCCTCTGCGATTCAACAGGGACGAGAGCTGAACGTGTGGCCTGTGCGGAGACCACCACCACCATCTCCCCCCACCAGCCCAAGGCCCCTACTCACCAGCATCACCACACACCAATTCAGGATCCCACGATAGTTGCTAAAGCCACTGTCAGAGCTGAACAAAGAGTCTTGTAGGCGGTGGCACCTGCTGGGCGGGAGACACACTCTCAGAAGCAGGCAGCAGCTGAGGCCCCCCTACCAGGCCAGCCCTGCTCCAGTCCCCCGGGCTGTGAGAACACTGCACTCCTCCAAGCCCAGGGGCAGGTTGGGGGCCTGCAGACACCCAAGAGCCCAGCCAAGTCCAGCCCCTCAGGAGCCAGCCTTGGGGCCCAGGGCCCAGGGCAGAGCAGACCCCAGCCCCTCCCTCAGAGCAACTCTGGTACATCCTAGCCCGGCAGAACGGTCCACGCACCCCCAGCCCTCTCTTCTGCCCACAAACCCTCCTCCCCATTCACGATCACAGAGGGGCCAGGGAGGGCCAAGCTCTCAGGACCACCCAGAAGCCTGCCCTTCCAGGCAGCAGGCAGAGTCATGCCACAAACAGGAGCAGGACAGCTGGCCCTGCCTACCCCAGGGCGACACGGAGCTGGAGCACCCCAGGCCAAGAGCCCATCCTCACTCCCCAGAGGCCTCTGGCTGCCACCATGCTCGATGGCTACAGAGTGGTAATGGGCCCACAGGAAGAGTCCACTCCAGGGATCTCAAGACCCACCAGGCAATTCTGTACAGAGGTGGGGGCAGGGGCTGAATCTGCCTTGCTCAGTCAGCCCATCCTACTGCCCAGCGCACTGAGGGGCCCCCACCTCAAACAACCTCCTCCCTAGATTTGGCCCGTGCAGGTCTGAGTGTGCACAGGGCAGGCCCCAGGCCAAGAGCCAGCTGAGCACTGGACTCACATGCACCTTCCTGGGGACAGGGGCCCTCATACATCTGCATAGCCTCCAACTGTTTCTGAAAAAGTATAACCTGTCCCAGTTCAACCACAAGGTCAGTACTGTATTCCTGTCCAGGCTAAGGGGGCCAAGAAGAGCCCACCCAGGGGCCAGGGAGTTCCCACTACTAATGGGGTAGGGGAAACATACGCAGACCCTCACATCCCCGCCTGGTCCTCAGGGTGACACAGAGGTAGTGAAAGGGCCACAGTACGGCTGGGGCAAGGCCCAAACCCAGCTCCTGGCTCACTCAGCCTGCCCCACCCTACCCCAGATGCCATGCCACCAGGAAGCCCCACACAGCATTGAGCAAGGCCTCCAGTTTTGTAAGACATGAGGCCGGGGCCTCCCCTTCCCTCCTGTGGACACATCTCCACCTCTTGAGGACCCCAGGCAGGAGAAGTAGACTCGGATGAGTACGCAGGGGCACAGATGTCCTCTCAGGGCTGATCCTGCCTCCGTGGCAAGTCTTCCTATGGCTGGGGTCAACACCAGGAAGTGAGGGGCTGGGCAGGCTGAGATGCTACTCAGCGGTCTGTAGCCCAGGCAGAGGCAAGGTCTGCACTGCACCTGGCCCACCAGCCTCTCCCGGTCACAGGCCTCCTTGTGTCCACCTTCCCGGTCTGTCCTGGGCCTTGCAGTGAGACCACCCGAGGCCCTCTTCTCCCTGAGACCCTGCACCTGCCTTTCTGCGAGGCAAGCAGAAGTCCAAGGCCCCACTCCCCAGAGAGGACGGTCGCTGGGCTTGTCCACTAGACGGGGCCCCCCAGCCCTTCTGCCAAGTTTGAGCCCATTCACTTGCACTGGAACCATCCCAGGGCCACCCTGTGACACAACCTGCCACCCCCATCTGCACATTAACATCCATCCAGCAAACATTTCACACCAATGTGACCCCTTGTCACCAAGAAGACCACGCTGGTTTTATTTCCAGCAATCTCTACGATGAAAACAGGGGTGGGGAATGGGTACTGTTTTCCAAATCTGACACCAAACAACATCATAAAAATTTCAGATCCCCGCTGTCAGGCTCTCAAGGCCTTCCCCAACCTGCCCACAGCCACTCCCTGGGTCCCTCCACAGGGCTCCTGACCATCCCCGACCCCAGGCAGCAGAGACTCAGGGAAGGAAGCCCACCGTCCACCAAAACCCACAAGGTCCAGCCTTGCCAGTACAGTCGGCAGTGGACCAGAGGGCAGACAGGCAGGACCTGGCCACAGTACCCAGAGCTATCTCTGTCACCCTCTCCCCCACTACCAGGGCCCCCCACACCTCTAGCGGCCCCACACATGCTCCCCAGGTCCACCCAACCAGCAGGGTCACTGTAACTCATCACATGTGTCACCTTATTCAACCCTCACATCCGTTTTGGGAGGTAGGTGCAAGGGGAAACTAAGGCTTGCCGAAGTTTAAAGCTTGCCCAGGGGCACAGCTCCCAAGTGTGGATCACACCTGGGGACCACATGGCCCAGCTCCAGGGCCAAACAGAGCAAAGAGGGGACAGAGTGGCAGCTGTCCTCCCAGCTGCCACCTCCTCAGCACTTCCTTCACCCAGCCTCTGGGTTGACCCCTGGAATACAAGGTGATGAGGTGGGCTCTCCACATCCCCAGGCCCTGCTGAAGAGGAAGAAACAGGACATTCCAGGAACAAAAACCCTAGGGGAGCCCTGCAACCAGAAGGCCCTGCCTGGAGTGCCCATGAACCAAGGGCCAGATGTCCTAGGCACGGGGCACTGTGTACGGTGCCCCCTCCTTCCTGCCCCACAGCCACACCTTGCCATGAGCTGGAAGAAATGAGTTCACACCCAGAGCCTGACCCACCTGCCCAGGCCAAGGTGAGCAGGAAGTATAGGGAGGGGAGGAGGCCTGGAGCCCAGGGAGCAAGGAGGAATGGGGAAAGGAAAGGCAACAAGCATGGGACGCCTGGGTGGCTCAGTCAGTTAAGCGTCTGCCTTCGGCTCAAGGTCATGATCCCAGGGTGCTCGGATCGAGCCCTGCATCAGGCTCCCTGCTCGGCAGAGGTCGGGAGGTGGGCTGCTTCTCCCTCTCCCTCTGCCACTCCCACTGCTTGTGTTCTCCTGCTCTCTCATTCTGTGAAATAAATAAATTAAAAATCTTTTTTTTTTTTTAAAGATTTTTATTTATTTATTTATTTGACAGAGAGAGAGACAGCGAGAGAGGGAACACAAGCAAGGGGAGTGTGAGAGGGAGAAGCAGGCTTCCTGCGGAGCGAGGAGCCCGATGCGGGGCTCGATCCCAGGACCCTGAGATCATGACCTGAGCCGAAGGCAGACGCTTAACGACTGAGCCACCCAGGCGCCCCAATAAATTAAAAATCTTAATAAAAAAAAAAAAAAGGAAAGACAACAAACAGAAGGGAAAGGGAGACAGGTGAGAGGAGGTGGACAAGGAGGAGAAGCACAGGGGCCAAATCCCAGGAGGCAGCCAGAGCAAGGCCTGACTCTGTCAGCCCCGCTGGGCCCTCCGACCTTGGGGTGTGAGGAACAAGCACACAGAGCCTGCATGACCTGGAGACTAGGAGGGAGCCGTAATTGCCAGGTCCCCCTCCAGCCCCTGGGGCAGGCCCGTCCATGACATCTCCTGCTCCTCTTCCCAGGGGGCCCAGACTTTGAGGTTGGGCAGACGGGGCTGCCATTCACTCGGCCCAACTATCAGGAGCATGGACGAGGCTTCTGGACACCAGGCCCTGGCAGAGCAGGGAAGTGACTGCCTATCCCAGAGTGGCAACATGGCCCAAAGCCAGCACCCCCGTCTTACACAAAAGGACACCAACTCCTGCCACCTTTGCAGGAGATCATGCTAGCCATACCCCTGCCTCCCGGATGGCAGCAGAGGGGACTCTAAGGCCCTCCTGTCCTTTGTAGCCTCCCTCAGCACTGCCCCAGGCCCACAGGAAGCAAGCACCCCCTCAGTAAAACCACCCTCCTCTGCCACAGTGCCTTCACAAACTCCTGACCTTTGCTCAGCCTGCTCAGTGCTGAGATTATCTTATCTCCAGGTGGACTGTGAGCACCCCAAGGGCAAGGACCCCAGCTACCCTCACCCACCCTCTCACCACAGTGAAGAAAGCCTCTGTTCTTGTTTACTGAGAGAGCAAATCCTTGCCAGCAGACTGACCAATTGCCCACTTCCTCCTCGATAACCTCTAGCCCCAAAGGCACTTCCAAAACCAACGTCCCCCAGGACACCTGGGCTAGGATGAAGGCCAGAAGTGGGAGGGGGAGGCTGGATGTGGCAAAGGGATCACTTGCAGCTGGCTTGAAGGAGGGAGCCAATACCCTGGCCTTCCAGGTCCTCCCCACCAGCCAGACTTGCTCCCAACTCCTTCCTGGCAGTCCTTCGGCTAAACAGGGTGGCCCTTCGCCTGTACCCTAACCAGGGGGTGAGAGTCCCAATGCAGGACCCAACTCTGTCCTTGCAAGAAGACACTTGTTCTGGTAACGGAGGCAGGGCCCCAGGCCAGCCAAGCTCTGGGTGAGGGAGGGACCCCCACGAAAATCACTCTGGGGAGAGTCTGCAGGGACAAGAAAGACGCTCACACTGCCCTGCCCCCGTCCCTCAGGCAGTCCCAGGCGCCAAGGCACCCTCAGGAGAGACCTCCTTAGTCACAAACCACCTGATCCCCCCTAGCTCCTTGCAGACAGAGAACACTTGTGCATAGGGGCCAGGGTCCCGGGTCACCCTGAGGAAGAGCCTGAGGACCCGCCTGAGGACATGTGGAGGGGTTGGGGGCTCTGGAAGCTGGACTGCCGCCGGCCCCTCTAGGCCCCCACGTGGGTGACCTTGGCCAGTGACTCTCCACGCCTATGCCTCAGTTCCCCCGCAGGGGTCCTGCGGGCACACCTGTCCACGCCAAGTCCGGGAGCCAGGCTCTCAGACTCGGAGCCCGCGCTGCTGCGGTCATGCCCGGGGAGCTGGGGAAGGTCCCGGGCAGGGGTCAGAGGTTCGGGGTGAGGCGTCTCGCTACCTCAGATCCCAGTGGCCGCTGCCCACGTCGGAGTCTCTGTTCTCGTCCTTGTCGGGGGCCGGGGCCGGGGCCGGCGCCGGCGCGTCCCCCCCGGGGCCCACGTCCCGCACCTCCTCTTCCGCGGGCCCGCCGCCGCCCTGGCTCGAGGGCCGTGAACCCGTCCTCCGGCGCCGGGAGCCGCCCGCGCCGCCGCGGTCGCCCATGGCCTCAACCCTCACCCTGTCCCGGCAGAGTCGTGGCCCGCCGGGCTCGCAGCACTCAAGGCCCGCGGCCCCGCCTCCAGACCCTCAGCCAACCGCCGCCACCGCCCCCTGCCGGACGCCGTAGCCCGCGCGCTGGCCCGGGCCGCCAATCAGCGCGCGCCCTCCAGGCAGCCCAGGGACTGCGGTCACGTTGCTCTGGGATCCCCTAACTGGCCAGCCGCTGGGGCACGCGCCCATTTGTAGTCCGCGGGCGCGCGAGGCACCCTGGGAGCCGCGGTCGCCCCGCGCGCAGCACGCTGGGAGTCGTGGTCGCCCGCACGGGGCACCCTGGGAGCCGCGGCCGTCCGGCACACCCGAGGGGGGGCTGCGGCCGTCCGGCCCGTGACGGGCCTTCCTCTCCGCGGGCCTCAGCGTCTCTACGGAACTTGCCAGACTTCCTGGCAGCGGCGAGCCTCCCCCGACGCTTCCCTGCTTCTCATACCACTCTGTAAACACAGGGTTTCGCCATTGCTCAGCCAGGCTCGGAGTATGGGGTGTAGATTATTTACGAAGTGCCTCTTGCGTTAGCGTCCGGCCCAGGAGCCGTGTCCGTGGGGACTCGCCTCGCCCACCACCCAGCGTGTTGGCTCCCGAGCGCACGACGGGGCTCACTTGAGCTCCGCGACCCTCTAGTTACCACCGCAGAAGCACCTGCTTTTCCACGGCTTAGCGTGTTCAAACAAGCGCCAGACCAAAAGATGGAGCAGGAGAAAGGCCTCCGGCCCCGCGTCCCTGGGACGCCCGCCCTGCCCACTGACTCCCGGTCGAAGTGCCCTGCGGGGATAGGGAAGGCGTAGCCCCTAACTCCCATCCCCGAGTGGCCACGCCCTGGCCACCCGCCTCCCCTTCCGCCCACGTCCGCAAGACTTGCTGGGCCTCCCTTGTGTCCACCCGGGCTAGTTTTGCCAGGGTGTGGGGAGCCTGGGGTGCCGGATCGCGGGGACCCAGCGGCTTCCGTATCATTGCACGACCACACCGTGCAGCCCGCAAGCGGGCTAGTGCGCCTCCCACCTTAGCTTGACACTCATCTTTGCATGGGGCATGGAGTGTGAACATCCAGGATTTCCGGGTGCGAGGGTTCACTGGGGGCTCAGGACGGGTTTACCCAGCAGCAAAACCCATTAGCCATTCACTCCTAAGGTGATCAAGGCCAAGAAGAGTACCTCTCCAGCAGCAAATAAGCCGAGAGTTTCAGCCTGAGGTTAGCGACCTCTCCGTGTGGACTGGCCACCGCCTTCCCGCTGGGCTCACACCTGTTCCACTGCCTTCACCAGAGTGCCTGGGCCCCCTGGTGACACATTCCCGTTGCCACTAGGTCATCTGGGACTGGTAACCAGCCTGTCATCCCTACCTGGCAGGCTGGGGCTACCTGGCAGGTGTCTTTGAGTAACCTGCCAAAGGGGCTGCCCTGACTGGGCAGGAGAGCCCCTCCCGCATGCCTACACAGCCCGACCTCAGTGAGTCAGGCTCATCCTCGTCTCCTATCCAGTCTTTCAGAACTTGCGCCTGTTCACTGGCTGGCCTGGGCCAGGCAGGGCGAGGCCTTTCTGAACACTGATCCCAAGGGAGGCTGAACAAAGGAGAGGGTCCTCTCGGGAGCCTGGAGCGTAGGAATGAGCCCTGGGAGCTCTGCCACGCGCGCCCACGCGTGCCTTCTGGCTGTGCCATCCTTCCAATACAGAGCCAAGAACTACAGGGCCCACCCAGGCTGTCAGAGAAGATTGATGACTCAGGCTCCCAGTAGGCCTGGAGAGGCTGAGTCAGTAGTCAATAAAGGGTGAAGAGTCATTTTGGAAGGGGCTGCCTGCGTCCACGGCCGGCTCCAAGCCTTTGGCTGGCAAGTGACAGCAGGAGTGAAGCTACCAGAGTGGAAGAGGGATCACCGGAGAGGACCAGTCCAGCGCACTGGAGCGGAGCGCGAGGAGAACAGGACAGCGAGTTAATAGGCAGGCACGGGCTGTGAGAGCACCAATAAGGAAGAGCCTCAGTACCGGCGGGGGCAGGGCCTGGAGGGAGGGAGGCCTGTGGGAGAGAGTGGGCGGGCCGGGTCTTTGGGATTGGGAGAGGGTCAGCGCAGGAGCTTTAGAACGCGCCGGCAGCGCCAGTTACCTCAGGGTCCAGGGGAAAATGAGGCCGAGGGCACCAGGGGAGAGGGGAAAGGTCAAGGTAGGTGGGATTGCTTTTGGTGACAAAGGTGTACAAGAGGGGTTATAGAAGAAAGCTCAGTGGGGATTTCCCTGCCAGGGGAAGCAACTGATTAGGGGACTAGAGGCCAGGAGACTTGCAGGCCTGGCTGGAAGAGGTTCAGAGCTTAGAAGCTCAGCCTGTGGCTGAGGTGCCACAGGAAGGCCACTGAGGCCTGTGAAGGGTCTGGCCAACTGGTAGACATGGGACAGGGTGGTCAGCAGTCTGCACTGCCCGTTCTCTGGGATGCAAAGTCCTGTCCATGGAAATCTGTGGAGACTGAGGGTTGAACCTGTTCCAGGCCTCAGGGAGGCAGATTCCGTCCTTCCACCCCATTGCCCCTCAGGGTCCTGGAGAAGCAGAGACAGCCAGTCTAGACCCCGAAGCTGGGAAGGAATGAGCATTCCTCACTCAGGTGTGACTGCAGGTGTAGGGTGGGTGGGGTATTGGGGAAGGGCTTGTGTCCAAGGCAGGCCTTGGATAAGCTGTTCTCCCTGAGGCTGATTCTTCATATGCAAATTAGGCTATAAAGCCTACCCCAGCCTGGGGACAGTGAAAGTCAAGGATCCCTGGGCAGGAGGAGCTGGACACTGACCTCTCCCAATAGCAGGTACTTTCACTCTGGGCAGGCCTATCTCCTGCCAGGGTTCAGACAGCTGGCTCTGGGATGACTTAGTTTGACTACATGTCTCCAAAGACTTTGGGCCTCTCAGCTTATGCCTGCCTACCTGGGTATCAGAAGGCATTGCTGGGGCAGGGGGTCCCTGTCCTTGGGCTGTCCCTAACTAGCACAGTCCCGCCCCTCATCTCAATTTGATTCATCCTGTCTAGAACTCAAGGGCTGTGGGTGGCTGTGGAAGCCTCTCTTGTCCCCTGGGTGGCACCTCCCCGGAACCAGCATAGGTCAGCTGTCCTTGGAGGCCTCCTCAGACAGTTGGGGGGGGGGGTGGTCAGGGTGTGGGCAGCACACAGCAGCAGTAAGGGGCTAGACCTTGCACCCTCTGCTGTCCCCCTTTCCTCCACTGGCATGAGGAGGGCTTGTTGGTGGCTGTCAGGCCCTAGGGGCAGCAGGAGCCCCTACAGGGAGAGTAGGCCATAGGTCTGCAGGCCCTGCTGTACCTACTCTGGTGACTCTAGATCTCTTCTGGGCTGGGCCTGACTTCAGGCTGGAGACCCTTAGCTCCCTCAGTTCCTGGCACAGAGCAGATGAACCTGCCACAGGACAAATGCCAACTGTTTTGCCTTCAGGGGATTTCTCCCATGGCTTGGCCTGCCAAGCTGGCCCTTCTGGGAGGACGAAGATAGCCCTCTTGCGAAAAGGGACACTGGTGCACTCTGCACAAAGGCTGTGACCCGACCCCAGGGCTGCATGGGCAGGCTTCCATTCCCAGCGCTGCGCCTGCACAGTCTTGCCTCTGGGATGCAGCAGGACTGGGAAGACAACCCCCGGACATCCCAGCGCCCCCTGTGGCATGGGCCCAGCACTGGATACATCAACCCGACACTCCAAGTTCTATCAAGAGTGGCATTTATTCTCCTTGTGGAGGTGCGGCGCTCCGGGGAGCTGGTGCTATTGTGCTTAGGAAGGAGGTCTGTCCGTCCGTCCGTCTGTCCGGCCGGCCCAGCCCCAAACGGGGGCGGAAGAGGGGCGCGGCCCGAGTAAAAATCCCGGCCTGTTCCGGGTGGGAGTATGTACAAGGCGGCGGGGCGCAGGCGGGGGTGGGGGGGGGGCAGGCCGGCGGCCGCAACCCCCACCCGAGGGCCCCCGCATCTCGGGCCCTACTCGTAGAATCAGTACAAAATAGGTGCTACCTAAACGTTCCTTCTACCTGAATTCGCTAAGTCGGTTATTGTGCTGCTTAGTTATGGGGGCGGGAGGGGGCCCATGGCTTTCCACGGCGGCGGGGTGTAGGGAGAAGCAGGAGACCCTGGCCGGCCCATGGCCCTCTGGCCTTCTCCTTAGGTAGGTAGACAGGCGTATCGGGGTAGGGTGGGGCGCCTGTGTGTGCGTGTGCATGCGGGTGTCCCCAGCACAGGAGGGCAGGCCCCAGCTTGGGAGCTGTGTGGACTCCGAGTTGTGGTACAGAGGACTTGGGATATGGGCCCTGCTGTGCTGAGCCCTCAGTCCGCTCCTGCAGGTGCAGCTAGGTAGCAGCTTGGGGCCCACTGGGATGGGGCTGACCAGGTCATACACTCCAGCATGCACCTTTTGTCTGGCCTGGGGCCCTGGCCCCACACAGCAGAGCCCAGGTGGCCAGAAGATGGAAGGACTGAGAGTCGGTATGGGTGGCCCTGGTCGTGCTGGGCCTTGGGGCCCTGGGTCTGTGCCACCTGAGCTGAGAACACCAGGTGCAAGTCAATGGGTAGAGCCCAATTGCACCCAGCACTGGACCCGGGCTGGGGCGGGAAGAGGTAAGGGGGATGCAGGGTTGGGTCTAGGGACCAGGCCTTTCTCTGCATATGCAGCTCTCCTTGGCCCACCTGAACCTGATGGACCCCTGTTGCGAACATGCACCCCCTGCAGGTCGCTGCATCCCTGGCTGACTCTGCAGCGGGCCTGGCACATAAGTGCCCAATGAACAGTCGGTGGGTGATGGATGACTGAAGGAGGGGTCTTGGGGGCAACCACCCCGCCCCGGCCCCTGGAACCATTACACCCGCAGGGCTCTGCCGTGGGGGGGTAGGGAGGAGGAGGGGAAGAAAGTCTGCGCGTCCGGCCCCGCGCAATGTCCCTGATCTAGGGGCCTATGGGGTGGATAGGGCAGGGGGATACCTGATTCTCAGTAACTCTAGAGGCGGCGGCAGCTTCGCATGCAGTGCGCATTATTGCTCTATAGT